CGGTACTTGACGAAAAACAGACGGAAACTTTACAAAAAGAGTCTATACATCTTATTTTATATATTTTTAATACAAAATCTTTCATCAAATTTTCATGGAAAATTTTATTATATTATAATATAATATAATAAATATTATTATAATATTATAATATTATAATATATATATATATATTTAATTATAAAATTATATTTTATAATTTTTTTATTTATTATATTTGAAATTATATTATAATATTAATAATTATATTCTCTCTTATTTCGTTTGTCAATATTTTTCTACCAAAATAGTAATCTAAAATTAATTAATTTTTTAATTTAATTATTATTATCACGAGAGAATAAAAATACAAATTAATTGATATTATTTTGTTTGACTTCATGACCTCGTTTATAAATTTCGTATAATATTCAATTAAAAATCATTATTATTAAAATTATTTGCAATTTAATTTGCTTTTTAACTTGTTTTTTTTTTTCGAGGATAATAACGATATCACGAAAACGAACCCCCGATATCACAGAAATTCACCGTAGAACGATCCTTAGAAACATTATTATAGTCAGCTATGTATCATAACTCTTCTCTCGTCGAGTCTACATTTTCGTTGAAAGTTTTGTAAGTTCGTAAAGGGTTAGTGTGACAAGGTAAGACGAAACTTTTCCGATGGTCGTCCGATGCGCCTCAGGGACTTTCGGGAAATCCCTTTTTCCGGGTTTTACTGAAGAGAGAAAGAACCTCCTTTTGCCAGTCGATGACAAAGCTCGTTTTCGATGCTGAACGGTAGACCCAGTCGTAAAACAATGAGTCCTCGGTTGTATACAATGGAGAAAGACTATGTATGTGTGCATAAAAGAAAGAGAGAGATAGAGAGAAAGAATAAGAGAAAAGAGAATGAAAAAGTGATGAGGGTGAGGAGGGGGAGGAAAGAGAGAGCATGAATTTCCGTGAGATTGTAGACGATGGTGGTGGTTGGTGGTGGTGGTGGCGGCGATGCTGCTAGTGATGGAAATGTTCGTATCGAGAAATCGAGTTTGTGAGAGATGTGTGAGAGAGAGGAGAAAGTGTAGGGTGGGCTAGAGTGATTGTGCGTACATCATTTATTGTTGTCAGTACACAATAATCCTATTTCCTGTTCGGCGACGATTAATCATCGGGAAGAGTTTGCGCGATCACTTGTGCTGTTTCGAATCTATTTTTCTCTCTCTCTATCTCTCTATCTCTTTCGTTCTTTCCCCCTCTTTTATTCTTCCATTCTTTCTTTATCTACTCTATTTTTTATATTTTTTGTTGTTGCAATTTTTTTGTCTATTCGCACCCCCTCAATGGATACGACAAAAATATTATATCACAAATGACCATGTGTTCGATTGTTTCAATAAGTTAGAAACTTGAGAATTTAAAAGCTCCCATCGAACGTTTTTTTCTAAAGTTCCTTTTTTTTTTATTGTTATACAACTTTATTCTATTCATCGTTTTATCATCATCTATAGCCCCTAGAAGACGAACTTGTTTATTCAACGTCAGTTTTCATCATGTTTGATGTAAACATATATACTACCTCTTGCCGAATAGATTTTCCAAGGATTGAGGTTGCTACGTTTTCCAAGTCAAACTATGCATTCTTCCTTCGGATCGTGGTATTGTGAAACGTGTATTGTATTGAACCAAAAAAAGCACCAGTATTCGTGGCAGTATTTGATATTGATATTAATTCGATCTATCGTAAGAACGATTAAATTTGTGTATTTTAAATGAATTTTATTCTATCGTATTAAACGTTATACCGGAATAACTTTCAATGAGGATCAAAATAATACCCAAAGAGAGATAGAGAGAGAGTTCAACGAACACTTATTGCAGAATGAGATAGAGAAGAAATAGAATTGGACTTGGCACAGTTTCTAAAGCATTTGCATGTTCATTATCAATAATGGTTGATGATATTCCTTTTGTACGTATCAAACGAACTGTTTACCTATCTATAGTTATTAGTTCGTACGATCTAAAGAACACAATCAATCTTTTTTAATCTATATAGTTGTTTCGTTTTATCTTTCATTTATAATAGCATGAATATTTGATAGTTAATTTACTTTCAATTTCAATGCCAAAATCTTGTTGTTTTTTCTTTTCTTTTCTTTATTTAGCAAATACAATGCTAGGATAATAGTTTCCCCATGATATTTTAGTCAGTATTAGACTCCAATATTACTACTAATATTACTACTATTGCACACATGTATATATGTACGCATACGGTCAAATTTGCATTGCTTAACGTCGAGTAATAATACCTATTCGAATATAACTTTTCCATTGTCTATCCTTAACTTCTCGACATTGCGTGGAAACAACGACACCCTGTGCTTATTTCTGTTAGAGGGAAAACTAACTTGTGTCTGTACTCTCTCTTTCAAGAAGAAATGTTAACCCGTTAAACTGAGAAACGTGAAAACGAGTAACACGGTATAATATTCTTGTATACTCTATGAAATGTATACGCGAAGTTAAATACATCCTTATCTTTGTTGAAAAATAAATTGTATTACTACAATGAAAATTTTTTCTTTATCATAATCATACTTTGCGTTCGAGTTCATATTAATTTTTTTTATCTATTTTTTAATTAATATTTTTAAGTCGAATACACGGAATGAATTAGAGTAAATTATTTAGGATAAAAATGTGTAGAATTCATCAATATTATCACGCGTAATCATCTTTGATTGAATATTTGAAATTACTGATTTCACACGTTTGAATATATATTTTTTGTTTTGTTTCTTACTCGCTAACAAATAACTCAATATCGAAACCAATACAAGCGTAGCAGCTGTCAATTCAAACTGAAAATATTTTTATGACCATATCTTCTTCTCTTCGCAAGCTCAAATTTCATAGCGATTTTGTTCGAGAAAATATCTTTTATATATACATATATAATATTCTTTCCGACAATATGTTGAATATATTCGTAAGTGTATATATATATTTTTATTTTGCTCATCCTTCGAGCAAAGGTTTATATAGAAAATAATATCAAGAGAACCAACCACCGAGAGTTCGATATTTTTTTTTTTATTTCTTTTAAAATATATAGAATTTCATTGGAGGATTTTTAATTGCGGTACTCGATAGAAATTTATGAAAATAAAGAGAGAAAGAGAAACATCGACGAATTGTAGAACATTAATTAGTGCTTCTCACGACAATACGCTTGAAAACTTTCTCTCATCGAAATTCGTGTTTACGAGTTTTACAATTATTCTCGCAATACTCTTTTACTCGAGTAGTACCAACGACTACTCGAATTGCCGATTTTATCGATCGTTAAATGAACTCTTATCTATAAAAGGAACTCTTATATATATATAATATATAAAGGCCGGAGGAGTTTTAGTAATCGTCAATAATAAGAATGAAAGGAACGACTAGATATATACGTACGATACGTGCCAACTCTGCCAAAACGTTCATGATCGATACTTTAAGATAGGTATTGGCATGAAACGAAGTGAATCTTTTTTCTTTCATACCCATATACACTCACAAGCACACACTATCTCTATCTCTTTTTCTCTATAGCTCGCGATACGATGCGGTTGTACAATCCCTGAGAGGAAATTCGTCGTTTTCCACCCAGTGGTTTTCAAATTTATCCGATTGTTGTGAATCAATGAAAGGATCGTTTTCACGAGACAGCGAGCCGAGTAATTGACTCGCGTTGATCACCTGATATCCTTTCAATCATCGACAATTCCTATCATCGGGGATAAATAATGCGTCAAAGTGTGATAGGGGATGGTGGAAGAGAAGGAGGGGGTAGGCTGAGAGAAATAGTTCTCGCGGTTTTGTTAATCAATCGAAAAGGAAGCCTTTCTGTCTCTCCTATTTTGACGATGAATCATCCAAGGGAAAATCCTGCCTGCGTGTGTGTTTTTTCTTCTTCTTCTTCTTCTTCTTCTTCTTCTTCTTCTTCTTCTCGAGTAAGAGAGAGAGAGAAAGAGAGAGAGAGAGAGAGAGAGAGATAGAGGAAGTAGCAAAAGTCGAAGATGTATTGATCTTTCGATTGTATTGCCACCAACCACCGTACGGGTAATCGTGCCGGAGTCAATAATCCGTGATCCGCTCAGCTTGGGAACCGCTTTGCCTCAACGTGTAATTGGGATCAGTGCTTATCTGTTGGCGCACACCAGGGCTCAACCCTCTCTCTCTCTCTCTCTCTCTCTCACTCCCTCATACCAAGAGACCCCCACCTAAATTCTGCGCCAGAGAGTATTACCTACGCAATACAGACGCAATACTCAACCCCTGCATTTGTTCGGCCTATCCTCTTACCATGTTAGGAATAAGATTATGCGTAATCGAGTTAGAGATATCCATCATGTGAATCGTTTTAGGACGATATTACCATGACTAAAATGTATATGTTATTATTTAAAGTTTTAAAGAGAGAGAGAGAGAGAGATCAATATTATATATATAACTCTTGTTGTTTTCTTGTTATTATTAATTAACTGTAGTTGATTACCATTTTCACAACAAAAGATGAGAAGTAAATAATATATTGGTACGTGTATTTATATTTAATAATAATAAAGTATATTAATTAGTGAATATTGCATATGTACAATCCTATTTTCTCTTATTAATGTAACGATTAGGTTATTCAAAGCACCAGTTAAAAGCTATATTATACATATAGATATATATACAGAGTTTAATTTCCCTAAATTCCAATAACAAGTACAATTCTAATTCATGTCAAAGAGACATCTCTCTCTCTCTCTCTCTCTCTCTCTCTCTCTCTTGGTAATATCGTGATAGACTTGAATGACATGATGAAACAAGACTATTACAATCGTTAATAATCTCAATTAGCAAATACGAGAAATGATCGATAGAACCTATATCAAATAATAATATCATTATTGATTACGTTAAGTTAACGTTGAAATTGTTTAATCAAACGACAACCAACGTCATTTGTGTTTCAGATTTGCCAACCTTTAACAAGTCGATTTCAAATGTGACAGTCGCGGTGGGTCGAGAAGCTGTACTTGTATGTGTCGTCTCAAATCTTTCTGGTTTCAAGGTAAATAATTTCAACCTAAAAGTGCAAAAATACTATATCTACACTTTTAACAAAGATTTTCTATTCGTATAATAGCCTTTTATATAATAAATTTAACAACACATCATGGTTACGTTACGTCAGGGTTTGCGACAGGGTTTGTTTTAAGGTAAATAATTTCAATCTAAAAGAGCAAACAACTTTTATTATTCTTTTAAGAAATATTTTCTATTCGTATAATAGCATTTTATATAATAAATTTTACAATGCGTCTCAATTCCCTATGCTCTCCTTTTCATTTCATCTCTTTTCCATCTTATTTCATGGGAAAAAATTTTCCCTTACGTGATGCAAACCTGTGATCGATGGGACACCTGATATTAGAAAGTCGCGTCTGATCGTATCAAATCTTTTTAATCATTTTCAAACATTACCTGTAACCAGATGTTTGTCCTTTTACCGGTAAATTGTTACATGAATCAAATAATATACTTTTTCTTTTTCAATTATATTTTTTTGCTCTCAAATTCGTCGAATTATTTGATCATTTGAGATTGGTAATAGAATGAATTGAATAGAARACAAGACTGAAAAGGAATTAATTAATTTCGATTGTTTTATTAATGTCAGATTTTTATTTTTATAATTCACAACGTGTGTTCTTTGTTAATAATTATATTATTGTACGATCCAAAAGGATCATACGGTAATTAGCAGTATTCAAAATTCGCGCGCATCCACCTCCATCGATTAAAGGTCTCGATCGATGCTCATGGTGAGCATCGATCAACTACTAGTAACTACCGAAGCGCCCCTCTAGTCACCCCCACCTCTCGCCTCCCCACTTCTTACANTTTCCCTGACGAGCCAATAAAAAAGGCATTGTTTCTTTGTTTGGCTCAACCACGTGTTTTATTTTACACCTTAATCTAATCCTTTATTCTCCACTTCATAGCATATAAGTAATGATCACAGGAATTTTCATTGAAGAATCTTTTGGTCAGAACATTATTATATTTTCGATAAAAGATAAACTCGTTATTCGATTATTATCCATGAAAAGATTTAAATTCGTATTTATTCGATTTTGTAATATTATTTTTCTATTCTCACATAAAGAATAATTGTTCTTTCAATCTAAAACAAGTGTTCTTATTCCTTTTAATAACAAATTAAAATATATCTATTATTCGTAATTGAGATCAGTAATGTATGACGTACCCTTTCTTCCTTCTTTTTTCTTTTGTGTACACAGTATATATACACAAGCTATTTGTAATAATATTTGGTAAAAAAGAAAGGCAAATAAAAGAAAAGAAAAAAAAACCACTGAATCATAATATAATCCTGAATACGGAAAGTTAGCCGATGCGAAATATGGACATCTGGGTGGGGGAAGAAGAGGGCTACGGTTTCATAAACAAAGTTTAATTTAACTGGACCGTTTTTGTGATTACAAGTTAAAATAGACTTTATTGACGTAGTCAGAGTGTATTCATCGGCACTACGAAGGTGGAAACAGGAAAGTGTTCGGAATAGTCTCCCTTTCTCTCTCTCTCTCTCTCTCTCTCTCTCTCTCTCTCTCTTCTATCGTATGACAAACATCGTTCATGACAGTTCCATAAAACCTAGCAGTGAATTAAAGTTCCTTCATCTGGTGATAACGATTTTTCATTCTCACGATAGCGTATCCCTCGTTTTTCATTCTTTCTTTCATTCTTCTATCTAGCAAAAGGAGGTTTATTTTTTCCTCAGAACTCTGGACAATGCTGATGTACGGTAGGAAACCTTGTTAGAACGTCTAATTGCGTTCCTCTTTATATAATATACCATACTTCTTGTCCGCAGGCCAACTGTTCGACATTTTTTTTCTTTTCTTTTCTAATTTTATTACGGCTTATATTTATTTTAATATATTATACAGACGCTAGGATATAATTAAATTTCTTTTTTTTTATTTTATTTTTTTATATTTTTTCTCCTTTTAATTTCAACGAAACGTCAATTTCCCAGACAACATATTTCCTTCAGACGATGTTACTACAACAACAACGACATGAACATGAACAGCAATAATAATAATAATAATAATAATAATAATAATAATAATAATAATAATAATAATAATAATAATAATAATAATAATAAAATAAAAGAATATAACNTAATAATAATAATAATAATAATAATAATAATAATAATAATAATAATAATAATAATAATAATAATAATAAAATAAAAGAATATAACAAGAAAAATAATCTTGTTGAAAAATATCAAATAAAAAGGTTGGAATAATATGAGATAAATCCCCCCATTCGACCGTAAATCTTTTTCATCATATTTCGTTCGATGTAACTTGTTTTCCAAAAAATAACAACAATATTCTTCTCGACACACAATAGAGAGAGGGAATAGCGGCGATTCGGAATTTTTCAAAAAAAAAAAAAAAAAAAAAATATTCTCTCATCGTATAATGGATCGTTTTGATCACGCGACGAGGTTAACCTCGTCCCCTCCCCTTTTTCCACCCCTCTGTCTATCCTAGTTAATCCCGACCGTTCTTCACTGTTATCGAATCGTTGTTACGTCCCTTGTCCCGTTCTCGTTGAAATCTCTTAAATCCCAAAAGGCTGAGAGGCTGAAATTTTAAGTCTTCGAGTCGTCGTGAGAACGACGCTGGAAACCTACGAAGGGTGAAGGGTAAAAGGTACGCGTGCCGTAGTTTTGTCCCTCGCGTATTTTACATTTCGATTGTAAATGGCAAAAGCACTCGTTGTGCAAAGCTTCGCGAGAATCTTCCCTTTAGTAGAAGTAGAAGTAAGAGAAATAAAGAGAGAAAAAAAAATAGAAAAAGAAAAAGAAACGAAAAGATGGGGGGTAGGTAGGAGGAAAAAAGACGTTGAAAAGACGTTTGCAAAGCCTCTAAAGTAGCATGGAACTTGTGCCACTGAGTAGAATTTTGGAAGTAGTTGAGATCGTGTTGAAGCAGGAAACGAGAACTATGGCTGCTAGTAGAAAGATGGAGATAAAAGATGTGAAGAAGTAGAAGAAGTAGAAAAAGTAAGTATAATAGTAGGTGGTGCTGAGAAGTGAAAGGATAAAAAGAATATGTTTTCTACGAAAATGAAAAAAAGGAAAGATAAAGTGACAACAAAAATAAATGAAAATAAGTATAAAACACATTTCTGGATGTGAATTTTATAGTTGGCATAGAACTTAGCTTAAGTACGTCAGTTTACTAGTCTAGATGTACGACTAACTCCGAAGTATTCCTCTCGTCAAGTTCTTCTCTGCTTTTCTCGTTTTCTCTACCCCTCTCCCTCTCCCCATACCCTTCTTTCACTGTTCTTATACTTTGCGTCTTATGTTTGTACCAGTGGGGTCCAACTTCATTGGCAGTTTATTTCCTAACGAGACGAAACGATACTTGAACGAGTTATGGTAGTAGTTAGTCGTAAAGAGAGAGAGAGAGAGAGAAAGAGAGAGTGTCGCAAAAGTTCACAATTCAAACTCGTTAAGAATTTATTGATGTTAGGTAATCTGCGGTTGATCGTCGTTCCTGTCCGACTGTAATAACTTTGTAACGATTTATTTTTATTTTTATTTTTATTTTTATTTTTATTTTTGAAGTGAAAACTTTTTTAGAATAGGAGTGGTGATTTGAAAATGGATGCAACGAAAAAGCGACAGGTAGCTATAAACAAAACAAACAAACTCGATGAAACAAAATGAACGACTGCGTTAGTAAGAATAGAGAAAGAGACAAACATATATAGATCTATGGGATTTAGACTAAGAGAGAATGAGATAGAATGTAGTGTACAGTTTTTCCTATTCTTTTTATTCTCTCTGTGCTGTGTTTCGTAGTCCTCACACCTGGATACTAGACGTTGTATATTCGTGCGTTTGTGTACGACTGCATACTATACAGTATATTAATTACAAAATTAAAGTTCAATTTTTATTATTATTTATATATTTTTTTTTTTTTTTAAATTATATTATAAATTTACGTTTATATTGGATTGTAATCCTGCAGACATACTTAACAATTTTATAATGTCATAAACATTACCAAACTGTTCTGATTTAACTACAGATTTATTTTATACGAATTATCGATGTTATTCGATTTTTGGTGGTAGAAATTATTATAACCAGTTTCGACGATTTTCCATACTTATTGCATTTGGTAATTATCAAATATTATTACACAATTTCGACGATCCTTTCTACTTTTCTTTATTTTTGATTTTGATCATATGTAAAATTATATCTATGGAATCTGATACCAAAAAGTTAATTTTATCCAATTATACGTATCATCGTGGAATTTAATCAGAATACTAATTATAATATTTTTGTTCGATTAATTATCTGAATTTGAGACTAGCATTAACTTTGTGAAAGTATTTGTATTATCGTGTTCTTGTCGGACATCATATCCCAGGGCTTAAAATATGTAAGATTATAGTACGTTAGTAGGGACTAAAACAAGAACGATGCATTAAGCTTCTTGATGCTGAGCTTAATGGTATCTTTAAACAAAATTGCAAATTAATTTAGTAGAAAGAAAATTAAGAGAAAATATTTTTTACTCGTAGGAGTCTGTGTCTAATGTTTTCGAAAATTCTTAAAAATGATATCACTTATTTAACCAATCAAAAACAATCCATGAGATGCACTAATAATATGCAACAATTTCTTAAGATTTATTTCAAAGGAAGTATCTTAAAATTATAAATTTCGAATAAAATTTTATTATATATATATATATATATATATATATATATATTTTTTGCAATAATGTTTTCGTTCGTGTTGCATATTCAGGAACTTTCTAAAAGATAGTACGGCGAATTGTTTCCCTTGGATATAATCCTACGAAAGGATACCTACCTCAGAGGCAAATTTACAGTGTGTCCTGTTGTTTATGTTCCCGGTCCTTATCGTTAAGACTCGCATAGTCAGCAGTCTATTGAATAAATATCAACCATGCGATAACTGAGAAATAATTA